CCCATGTCTTGGACAGGGCTGGCTTAGCAGATAGTTTAGGCGGTCCGGATTAGGGTTGGGTGCCCCATTGTGATTTTTCGGTTTACTCTTACATCGCTGGCCATTGTCCTGCGTGTTGGTATTAGCCACAAAGTCCATGTTACCATCCGCTTTACGCTCGCCTCCACCACCATTGCCTGTCCAGTGATGTTGCTGACCTTTGGAGTTGTTGTTCCTCTTTCCCTTCCCTGTCTTGTCATCATCAGATTCGGTATCCTTGGTACTATCAGAATCAGCATATTTCACCAAAGCGGCCATGAGGGTCCCCATGTCAGTGCAATGACGCTTTATCCGTCTCAACTTCAGCTTTAGGGGCCCAAACCGACAGTTGCCTTCTAGGGTTAATACTGCGGTGTCAGCGTTGATGCGGTCTGATGAGTGCAACACTTGTGAAACCCGGCGCACCCAATGAGTCGTTGACTCTCCTTCCTCCTGGACGCAGGCAGCTAAGTCTACTATCGACATAGGCTGTTTACATGTATCCTTGAAATTGCTGATAAACCAGGCTCGTAATCGGGCCCATGAACTGATAGAATTAGCCGGCAAGCTTTTTAACCAAGTACGGGCCGTTCCTTCAAGCATCATGGTGAAGTATTTCGCACACGCCGCATCATCCACATCAAGCATCTCCATGGTCATCTCATAGCTCTCCACCCATGTCTCTGGAGATTGATCCGCCGTGTAATTTGGTACCTTGCGCGGGCCTTTGAAATCCTTGGGCAGGCGCACATTGCGTAAAGCGGGGATAAGGCAAGGCACCCCCAAAGAACTAGAAGTAACACCAGGTTCGATCGAGATAGTCGGACGAACCGGCGTGAGCTGCCGAGCCTGATGTTGTGTGGCTAACTCGGCCTCCCTGCGCGCTCGGGCCGGATCCACCACTTCCTGAGCGTTATCAGCACCGCCCGCCGGGTTGTTGCCAGGGGGTGCTCCACGTCGTTCATTACTCGACACTGCCATTTCATCCATATGTCTGCTATAGCTCCGGCTTGGACGGGGGTCGAGTGGATCCGGTCGCGGCTGTACGAGTACGCTTTCTGTTGGACCAAAGCTGTCCTCAGAAGCTCCTTGACCCGTGCGTCTCTACTGCCTGCGGCGAGTCACCTTCAATTGGAATGGCCTCCAGCCATGCAGCAGCGGCAACGAGATTGTCCATCGGGTTGGAGTAGTGACCCGGAGGTGTTAAAACAGCCTGAGGTATAACGGTGTTTTGACGAGGCGGGTCCATCCGACGAGGCTGAACCGGTTCTTGCTCCTGGAGTGTTGAAAAGGTCTCTGGCCTCGAAAACCGGAGGCAAACGGGATCGGTGCTTCCTCCTCATGACTTCCTACGACGCGCTCTGGTCCAACATGAGCATGTAGGCCTGTGCGTCTAAAGCGGCCCGCTCTGTGGCCATCCTGGTGTCCTCAGCTGCCAGATCCGCCTTGGTCTGGGTGATCTGTTCCTTTATCTTTGCAATCTACGCGTTGTGGACGTCCTGATCCGCCGGATTAGCTTCCGCCATAAGCACAGCCAATGCATCAAAGAGCTCTGATAGAACTTGAGCCGGCGGGCGCACAGGGCCTCCTGCCCCGGCAGCCGTCGCCGCTGCCGAACCGGAGGTTGTTACCGCAGCGGTCGAAGAATGGAGCGCTGCTTGTGTGCCGGCCATGAATATTCCAACCCGGTTGGGCAGATCAGAGGGGTCCGGAATATTGTCGCCATCGGAACAGGCCCCAATCCGGCCGTCTTATAGCTGATAAAGAGATTCGGTTTCTCCGGTCGATGACTCGTCATCGAAACAAACGACGGTCTCACCGCGAGATTCCGATCCATCCTCATAACTTCCTCCATGAATGACTCCCACGAAGGCACGCTTTATGGCCGATTTAACCCGGGCGGATCGCGCACGCTGAGCCGTCTCGACGAGGTCGGTGCAGATGTCCGGCTCAGGGCCCGGTTCACCGATCTTGCCAATGAAAACGTGAATGCCACCAAAGGGGACCCGGTACTCGTACTCAACTAAGCCGTCCTCGGGGCCCAGCCTGCGTTGTCGATGTAGAGCTTGCCGCGACGACTCTTAGTCATCCGGCCTACAGCGTAGCCCTCGAGTCCTTTAAAGCGGCCCTTCAAGAACCTGAAACCATCGTGCGATAGCCCCACGGTGGGCGCCAACTGTCGTGGTTTTGTCACGGCAGATGTCCTAGAGAAAGGACTTAGTCGTGGAGCCATCGCGACGGGTTAGTTTGAAGGGGTTAAAGCGGACGCAGGGACGCAAGAGAGTTTATACTAGTTCGGCCCCTTCGATGAAGGTAAAAGCCTACGTCTAGTTGTGATGGAATTAATGGGGTTTCGATGACTAGGGAGCAAACAAGCTTCGCCTATGTCTCGAGTTGTTGTCTGTCCTTGAACCGCCGCCGGGTCGTCCCCTTATATACACGGTGACGCCCGTCGGTTCACAGAGTCCCAATACCGGTCGATATTCGTATCCGGGTTGGTCTCTCCTTATTCCTAACTTACAATACAAGTTTATACATAAATACCGGTTTACAGCTACAAGTCTTAAACCGACTACGGGCCTTAAGCCCTCATCTGTCTTCTTGGGCTTTAGCACTCTTGAACTACTGATGAAGTTGATCCGGCCCAGATAGGCCGGTTTACGCCCAGCAGTAATATCCCCAACAACGGCCATGACTCTCGCGAAAGCACAACCGTGCCTCTTACGGAAGCAAAACTGTGACTCTTGTGAAAGAAAAAAACAGAAAATGCGTCTTTTTCGTTTCCGAGAGGCACGGCCGTGACTCTCGCTAAAGCACAACCGTGCCTCTCACGGAAGCAAAATCGTGACTCGCGAAAGAAAAAAACAGAAAACACGTTTTTTTTCGTTTTTGAGAGGCACGGCCGTGACTCTCGCTAAAGCACAACCGTGTCTCTCGCGGAAGTAAAACCGTGACTCCCACGAAAGGAAAAAACAAAAAATGCGTTTTTTTTCGAGAGGCAAAACCGTGACTCTCGCGAAAGGAAAAAAGAACAGAAAATGCGGTTTTTTTTTCATTTTCGAGAGGCACGACCATGACTCTCGCGAAGCAAAACCGTGCCTCTTGCCGAAGCAAAACCGTGACTCTCGCGAAAGGGAAAAAAAGAAAATGTGTTTTTTCGCGCAAAAGAAATCAATTTTTGAAAAAAAGAATTTTTTTGTCAAAAAGCTAAGGAAGACCGGTGAAAAATCAAAACGTAAAAAAAAATCAAAAAGACGTTTAAAAAGCCGAAAACGCGTGCGAAAAAAATAAAAAAAATCCGAAAGGAGCGCACCACTGTCCTGTGCCCCGTGGCGCACACCACTGTCCGTTTCACCTTATCTCCTCCGAGCCCACCTTCTCCTACCTCCCCGATCCTGCCATGGATCCCCCCTTATCCTATCTTCCCTACCCAGCCATGGATCCCCCCTTCTCCTACCTCCCGATCCCACCGTCGATGTGCCTCCCTCGATGCACCCAGATCGACGGTGTCCATGTGCACCCCAAGAGATCAAGCTTAGGATGGCTTACTGCAAAGCTAGCGCGAGGTTGCTGCAAGACTGCATCTCAACTCTGGCGTGCTGCAACGTCAGAAAGAGACTGTTGCAAGTCTTTGCTCCAGGTGGTGTGCTACAAGGGCGAAGGCGTGGCTGCTGCAAGCTGACATAGCAACTCTAGCAAGCCGATTTCTCGGCTCGTGCTACGCGTTACTCGTTAGTCGGAGACTTGCTCTTTCTTGAAAAAAAAGACTAATAAACTTTAACCATTCTGAAACTGCTTTTCTTTTCTAGTCTATTACTCCCTCTGTTCCCAAATATTTGTCTTTCTAAACATTTCAACAAATGACTACATACAAAGCAAAATGAGTTAATCTGCACTCTAAAATATGTCTACATACATCCGTATGTTGTATCCATTTGAAATGTAAAAAGACAAATATTTGGGAACGGAGGGGTACTAGACTAGATGCAAACTGCTTGGCGGTTCAGATATCGCCATCAGCCAAATATGCCCCGACCCGCCGCTCCGCTGATCAGGATAAGATGAACCATTCTTATTTTAAAAATGTTAAGGAGGGGACGTCGCCGTGTCATGTGGCCACAGGTGATCTAAAGAACTCCCACGGTCGGCATCGTGTACACTACTAGTACGTACTACAATCCTGGTCAGGCTCCAAGTCAACCACAGAGCGCGTATGCATTGCACCACGACGCAGCACGCACATCACGCGTGCCATCAGAACGTGTACGGATAGACCCGGAGCCCCGAACCAGCACGTGACCCAAAAGTGAGATTCCATCATCAGCACGCACACCGCCGACACGCACCTGTCCTCATCAGCGCCTTAAACCAGATGCGAGACGCAGCACCACACGACATGCAAATGAATTCAGGCAATCAAGCTGCCCCCCGTTGCTTACAGTGCCTGCAGCAGCACAGGCAAAGGGCAATTTCGTGTGGGTGCTGCACCAACCAGGCCATTGCGCATTTGCACCGCACCCGTGTGACTCTTCAGGCACTTGTTCGAAGCTGGAAGCTTCCTCACCTGACAGATAACGCGCCCGGTGTCGTCTCAGAGACCACCAACCAAATTCAGAAACTGTAACCACGGCTGGGCCGGTGAGCCGCGGCTGCAGCATCACCCGACATTCATTTCATTTCCAAAAAAGAGAAAAAAAGGCTTTTCACCGGCATCACTGTATAAGATGGGTGCTAAATATATACAGAATGGAAGCTACGGTAAATGAAAATCTATTGCAAACGAACGAGGACGGCGGCGAAGGGTTTCTGTTGCTACTTTTTATGCACAGGAAGTCCGGGCTGGAGCGGCGCCTAGCAACGACCCGGGCGGGAAAAGAAACGAAAAATGGGGAGGGGGTGGAGTTTCCTGAAGGCTGCGGCATCACATCGCGGCTGCAAATACTTTTTCTTTATCAGCTGGTTCTGTTAAGTAGTACGCCCGATCACCGACCATATCTTGTATCCCTGGAGAAAGTATCATACATTAGAAAGAGTCACAGTTGAAAGAGAAAGAAGATAACTCAATCAAGGTTGTTATAAGAAAGGAAATTATATAAGGCGGGAGGCGGCAGTCATGCTGAATTTGATGGTTAGCCTCAAACTACTACTACTTGCAGCATAAAATCCTCACAAAAAATTTATATTCGCAGCTAAATCTGAAGTCATATTGGTGAAGGTTTGGACTGGTATGCAGCTATTGGATACTCCCTCCGTTCCGAATTATAAGATGTTTTGAATATTTCAATATGGACTGCATACAGATTTCAATGAACAAACAAACACACTAAAACGCGCCTATATACCTCCGTTTCAGAAAAAAAAAGGTTAAAACATCTTATAATTGTCCATCTTAGAACATCTTTAGGAGCATGCGGTTACAATATAAGCCCAATAACTATGGCAGGGAATAGCAGATTGTCTATACTGACCTGTAATGGAAACTGGCCATTCTTCCTGGTGTTGCCATACTAGGTACGGCCCCTGTGACAATGTACTCATCATCGATTTCATCAAATCTGAGTTCCCTCAGGTCAACAGCTTGTGTCGGAACCTCGAGATTGAAGTTCTCCAGATGAGCCTGATTGCTGTTCCTCCTTCCACTTCCTCTACTGTCCCTTCCTCTCCCTCTTCTTCGGCTTCTTGGATATCTACAAAATGCCTTGCAACAAATAAAAGACCACCACTTCCTCCTAACCCTGTGGAGCACTTCATAGTCGTCTCCAGTATCATCATCCCCATACTCAATGACATAGTCTCCGAGAACGATACCATTAGGAACTTGTGCATGTATCGTGCTCAAGACATCCACGATATCAGAAGATTGCTGGAAGTTGTCCCAATCAACTTGCCTGGCAGGGTCGATTTCTGAAGGGCGTGAATCTGGATGCTTTTGCTGTGTGTGCTTCTGAAGCTCATTGAAGTTGCCAGTAAAGGAGCAGCAATCCTCTTCACAGCATCTCTTCTTCTGGTTAAGATGCAGACGAGCCTCGCTGATCACAATCCACCCGATAACATCACCTCTGCACAATGGGCAACTTGGGCGGTTGTTTGCGTGAGATGACACGATGTGGATGCTATCAAGAGGGGCCACAGCTATAGACGAGACCTTGACATTGGCAGGTAGCTCATAAGCACCTTTGAACCTCTCAAGACAGTTTGAGCGGGTCTGGTCGGTGTCGCACACAAACGGCCTGCAACCCTTCTCGTAAGACGTGCACCTCAGGAGGACTGCGTTGTGGGGGTAATCTAGGCAGATTGGGCAGGTCACATCCTCCTTCCAGCTTTTGTCAAGATGTATGTCAAGGTCAAAAGAGTTGGGCCTCACCACCTTCTTCACCATCAGGTTTCCTGAACCCATGTCGAACTCGGTAGCAGAACTTGTGTCCCTTAACAGATGCAGCTTTTCATCACAACCTGCATGGCATCAACAAGCAAAACAGATACTAATTAGCACCGAGTTCCTCCTTTCTAAACATAGCATATATTTTCTGTCCAACATACTGTATTTAGCATTTCCATCAATACAGAACATGGTGGCTGATGAATGATGACAGTCTATGTATGGCAGAGTAAAGACATGTTCAGTACCCAATCAGTCCATGTAATCATTAATTTTTGCCATAAGCTCTTTTGATCCGCTAATGATTTGCTAAAAGCCTATTCCATTTATGCTCAAAAACAAAAAAAGAGAATCCCGGCCCAACCCCCTAACGCAAGTGCTACTGGTTTTACTACCTTCGTCTGATTACAAACCCCCAAGAAGATCGTCATAGCGCTCTGGCCAAACCCAGCCATCTATCCGACCAACCAATCAAAAATCCTAAACAGGAGAAATCCTAGCAGGAGAAATGGAAATCAGACAGCAGAATCCCCAACGCCAACGGGGCTCGATCTGGGTGTGTGCTGACCCAAAACCAACCAAAACTCCTAACCAGCCGCTTCAATCCGCATCTGGACAGGGCGCCTCACCGGCAGCGCGGAGGAGATCGGGACTGAGCCGACCATCAAATCAAATCACGCGACACGAGTATATTCGCCCGCCGGCCTAAACCCCTGAGCTCTAAGAATCACTCCATCCCACCAAAACGCGTCGGCAAGGGGCTAAACAAACAGCCCCAAATCCGCCCGAACGAAATCCGCGGAAGACTCGCGCCGCCCCGGCAGCGAGGCATCCCCAAAGTCTCTTCCGCATCAGGCAAAAGGAGAAGGTCGACTGGCCAGGAGCTCCGATCGACTGGAGGGGAGGAGACCCCGAAATCGAACAGGGGGGGAATGGAAGGGGGGAGCCGTACCGTCGCTGCCGCCGCTGACGCCGCCGCGGCGCGGGGTAGGTGGCGGTGGTGGGAGAGGGGAGGGGAGACGAAGGGAGAGGGGAGAGAGGTGAGGGGGAGTTGAAAAAACCGTACCCTCCCACAGCTCGCACGCACGCTCGCCAAGGACTTCCGAGGTGGTGGTGATGATGCAGCCACCCTCTCCCTATCTCTCTTCTCTCTCTCTGCCTCCTCTCTTTTTCTACTCGCGCATCCAAGTCGCCATCCATTTCGGCTCTTCCGTTCGGTTTTCTTATACCGGGTCGCACTCCCCTTTCCTCTGCCTTTTTCCCGTTTCTTTTTCACGGGAAAATCGACCCTTTTGTTTTTTCTTGTTATTATTCTTAAGTTTTTCGCCTAGTAGTTATTACTCCCTTTTTTCACATATATAAGGGCATGTACAATGGTTGATAAGATAGTCTTATCTTAAATCTTGCATGTAATTTAGTGATGACAAAAGAGTATGTCTACAATGGATTATATCTTAGCCTTATCTTCAATAACTAGCAATTCCTTAAAACATGGTGAGACAAATTGTGCTAAGAGATCATCTCTTGTTTTATCTTAAATAAGAGAAGACAAGCCTTTTCTTATGAGTTCTCTCTCCTCCACCTCATCATTTATCCTACGTGGCACTCCTAAGATAGCACCATTGTACATGCCCTAAGATGTTTGGATATTCAATATGGACTACGTACGGACTTGAATGAATGAACAAACACACTAAAACGTGTCTATATACATCTGATTTACAAAAAAAAAAAAGTTTGCCCTGCGAGGCGCTCGGACTCCTCAATTCCGATCCGAAGTGCCATCGCATTTTTGAGGTGGTGTTGGCGGGCGTTCGTCTTTGCCGAGGGGGATGACATCGCGAAGGATCTTGTCGTCTTCAGCGGTGGGCGAAAACAGCTCCGACGTGGATCTGCAGGACCCGTAGGCGGACCGGCAGGAGGCTGGCAACCGCGGGCGCGGCTCGGCGATGCGGGCACGAGCACCCAACGCTGCCAGGGAGGAGCAGGGCCTAGAGGTGTCAGGCAGCACCGGTCGCCCCGCTGCCTAACCGGGGAGGGCGCGAACAGCTGCCCCTCCGGGCCACCCGGGGAGGCCGTAGAGCTCGAGTTGTTGCCCCTATCCATTTGCGACCGAACGAGGGCAATGCAAAGTGCGAGCTCGTCGTCATCCAGAGTGGATGAGCTGGAAATCCTCCTTAAGGAGCATCGCCCAGTCGATTGGATCGGACACGTTGTCGAAACCATTGCCGTAGCTGGCCATGGCGCAGGGGATGGGACAAGGACGTGCAGTGAGACAACGGACAATGTAAACAAACCGGTTGAGAAGAGTGTGGACTTTGACTAGAGTTTGAACCGAAATGGGGTATTTATGGGACACGGTGGAGACATGGTAGGCCAACGTGCGCCCCGACATGATGGACGTGTTCGGACCATCCCCACGAATGGACTGGGTTTTGAAGATGCCAAATAACCCGGACATATATAGAGACAGTTTGAGGTGCCTTGGATGGTCCGGTTGTAGATGCTGTGATAGCTTTACTGTTCAATTAAGGACAGGGCCATGTTTGTGCGATTCATATTCGAAGGCACATTTGAAACATGCACTTACTTTAGACACACGGAGCAAATTAGCCTGCTCCGGGAATGTTCCCACGGAATCGTCAAATGCGCTTTGCGTAGGCAGTGAGATTGTGTGTGGGAGAATATGAAAGCGTTTTTTTTTCGCTCACGGAATAATAAGACGGGAAAGGGACGGCCGGACGGTTGACGTGTGGAGGAAGACCATGGCATATGCCAATTGAAAAAAGAAAGCAAGACTCCGTTACAACTCAACCACAAACGCGAAATTCAGACCTGCTACCACCTCTTACTCTACTCTACTGCCATCGGGTATGAAACGTGGACGCAGGCAACCTGAGTTTAGTATGTGGAATAAATGGGTGGCGGTAAAACTTCACACGCCCCGGTCACCACTCCAGAGTAGTACCAGCGTTAGGTGAGGAGACCCTGACCTCCTGCTACATTTCATCTGCATCTGTCACCGTGGGATCACACTGAAGCAACGCGACAACCTCTCGGTCTACCTCAGCGAAGATCGTTCAAGCTCAAGACTCAAAACGGAATCCAACAAGGCCATATATCATTTTCTCGACAAGTCAAGTCATACGCTGCATACACCCATCGCCGCGAGACTAGTCATAGGTTCAACTGGGCTGAACGGTGTAAATAGGACTGTCGATACCAGCAGCCGCACAAAAATTTCGACAAAGGACGCACCGTTATTCTAGAATAGATATCGTCGACGAAACACACCAATGGCTGCGAGGGCAGTAAGTAGTGCTGGAGCTCCACGGACTGATTGCTGCTCCTACAGGAAGAGCGGGCGTCGCGACTAGTACGGGACGTTCTTGGGCAGGTTGCGGATCACGTTGCTCTTCATCCCGATCTTGGTCCTCATCGTCTCCACCCCGCTCTTGTTCATCGCTCGGAGCACCTTCAGCCTCACCATCTGCTCCTTGGACTGGACCGTCACCAAACCCATGCTCTTGTAGCTGAAAAAGGGGAACAGAAACGCAGTTAAGCATAAGGGTCTCGGCATTTTACGAATGCAACATGACAAAGATACTTGAATGGATAGGATGAAGAATGCAGGATTCAAACCTGGAAGCCAGGGAAAGTGCAAGAGCACGGTCTGCTGCAACGGAAGGCCGTGGCTTCTGGCGGTAGTAGCGAATGAACTCTCGGGAACCAAGAGTCGTCACGCGTCTCCCCTTCTCGCTCTTGCTTGTGATCACGAGCTCGGATCCACCACCTCCCAGTTCAATGCTGTTGTCCATGTCACCAGCAGCAACCAGCTGCTTACCCTCCACATCAACATAGCTGCAACCAGAGTAAAACAATGCCATTAGGTGTTAGATGTGCGCAGCACATTCACCACTAAGGATACTTAATATCCAACAATGACCACACAGATACTACTTGCACATTCACCACTAAAGGATACTTAATATCCAACACTGATCACACAGATACTACATGACTATGATTCAGTGGACAGAGATGAGCATTTCAGATTAATTTTACTTTTGTTCAAAAATTATTCCAACAAAGATGGCTAATTAACAGAACACAACTATCAACAGCATTCTGCTTCAATCTAAGCATTCATGGAACCACAAAAAAGCAAGAGCCAATGCAAAGAGCAAAAATTCTAGAATTTGGAGAACATATGCTAAGATGAGCACGTTCTCAAACAGGGTTGTCTTGAAAAAAGCCCATCAGAAGCCCAAACTCAAAACCCTAATATTATCAAAACTAATGTTCTTATTACAGGAAACAAGAAGGTTAGTAAAATTTTGCAAGAAGAAACTTATTAATACAGAAGTTTAGCACAGTACAAACCTGCTGCTGTAATCGTAGAAATCCTCAAGGTCAGCATCTTCATCCTCCCCACCATCTCCATAACGCAATTTGCAGTGACCTTTTGCATCCATATGCTTCCTGACAGCCTCAAGACTTTGGAAAGGCTGGCATCTGTCATTGCAGTAGAGGCACATAAAATCACGCTTCACCTGCAGGCAGAATAACAAGTACAAGATCATGTTAGAAAACATGCAACTAGCGAACCAGGACATTAGTACTGATGGGGAAATGCCTACCTCCAGTCCAACATATATAAGAAGGCCATTGGGATCTTTCAAGTATTCACTGTCAGGTATGAAGAAACCATGCTTTTTGTGCATATGGATCATGCAGTCCTCTATGTTGTCATGCTTGAGATCACACATGAAGCAGTCCGAGGGATCCAACATTTCAAGATCAGCCATCTCATCATCTGATTTAGAGTCCTCATCAACTTGCATGTTTGAGGTAGACTCCAGCTCACTTGGGTCCACTTCAACCCACTCTTCCTCCTCCTCCTCATCCTCATCTTCATCTTCTTCCATTGCAGAGGGGGCTCTACGAGGGACTCGCTCAGGAAGTGGCTTGACTACTGCAGCAGTGGAGGCATTGGGCTCCTGAGAAGCTCTTAAGAGATGCGACCGCGTGGTGAGATGTTGGGCATGAGCTTTTGCACTCCTGTACCCTTTTCCACAAAGAGCACAGCTGTAAGACATCGGAGGAGCAACGGTAGAGTTGCTCCCCTCTGCTAAAACAGTTTGTCTAGCAATAAAGAGAGCCTCGGTAACTCCAGGAACTCCAGCCACCTGACAAACACTGAATGTCAAAATGATGCACAACAGAAGTACGACGCTGACATAAGCAAGAAGCAACAAAATCAAACAGTTCCCAGTAATGTGTTACAACTACAATTGCCAAGTTGATCAAATAGAAATATGATACCAAGTTCCACCTAGGGTTTAATTGTCAGCTAACAGAGTATCCCAAAACAGACACTTAAATTGGCTTGCCTCCATTTTGTTCGCTAAAATTGCGTACCGCGAGGTCGTTTGCAGATAACATATATAGTTTTTTTCTCCAATAAGTAAGATAATCCTCCCTCATCCTCTAACAAATTAGACATGTATAATCTACAGCAGGGACAAGCTGCAGGGCATCATCTCATGAACAAAGCAGGCATGTATAGCATTTCTTCTACAAACTGAATGGCGCATTCCAAAAGACAAATCACAGCTAGCCCTTCTCTACGATCTTAACCAAAGCAGAGTAGGAAGCTTGCACATAGCCTCCTTTCTTAAGTTGACAGTATAGAGTATACCTAAAATTTCTAATTAAACTGCTCACCCTGCAATCTAGTGCCTCCAGCTACCTCAAAACAATGAGCAAAAAAATACTAATTCTAATCATCCACGAGCACTAACACGAGCCAGCCGCCTAAACCTAAAAAAACAAGCAATAAAAATTCGCAGGGGAAGCGTTTGCGCGGGCCTACTGGGCGTCATAATCTCCGCTCCAGAAGCGCACAACACATCAGACACCCATTCATATCGCCCGCGGAACGCATCATCTGCTGCTACCTAACACGAACCCTAACAGCACATAAATAACCAATCGCGCGGGACCGGCGCGGGGAAGACGGTGGTAAGCATACTACCTTGCGCTTGAGGTTGTAGCGGTGCCACTCGGAGCGGTAGTGGAGGCGCTGCTCCTCCTCCTCCTCGAACGCCGCGTTGCAGGCGTTGCAGGTCACCGTCGGCATCTTGGCCGCCTCTTCCTGTCCCCTCGGGTACGGCTTGGACCGGCTCCTGCGGGCGGGCGGGGGTGCGACGGCGGGGTGGTGGCGGCGGTCGCGGGGAGTTGCGTTTCTCTCCTTTGCGGTAGTGGCGGCGGCGGCGGCTGGAGGAGAGGAAGCCAAGTAGGCGAGGGCGAGGGGAGGACGCGCTCGGCGGTGACGTGAGCGCTTGGGTCAGGCCTCTACCGACTCTAGGTTTGGGCCTTTATTGGGCTGTCGGTCGTCGGCGCTTAGGCAGGCTTTAGCCGCGTCGTTAAAGCAAAGCCCATTCATCGGTAGTATATCGATTCTCAAAAATATAAAAAATAAACTATCCTCGGTAGTAGGACAGCGCATATAGCGTTTTTTTTTCTCCCCATCGGTTTGGGGGACCTTCCTGGTTTCTGAGGCGGTTTACTCCGTGGGTTTTTGGGCGAGTGTTTGGCCAATTTCTTCTCCTGAATCCGCATTCATCATGCCTAGCGGGAGACTGAATACGCGAAACCAGATTGGTATGTTATTACACTCATACTCTGTCGACCTCTTTCATGGCATGTAGCCCTCCACCACGAGCTCTTTACCAAACATCCATGGCCCGTTTAACTTTCAAGTGCCTTCCTCTTTTCAGATTCTCCGTAAAACGTAAACATGAACAAGTTCTCCACGACCTCCTTTTCAATATATCCCCTTGATCGGGCACCAAACCATACCGAGAGAGAGACATATTGCATTTGAATAAGCAAGTTTCTCTGACATTACCTTCCCCACTGCATGTGCTTCGACGCACTTCCCTTCTCTTTCATCGTGATTATTATTTTTGACCTTTTCCTTTTTTTCAACAACTTCAAATCTTTCATCAACCCTGCCACGCCCTCTATCTCCAACC